CAACGTCGAGTTGTACGTTCACGAGCTCAACGTAGTCGAGCAGCACCGCGTCGGCGAGCACTATGGTGGGCAACAGCACGACGATGACGGATAGGGCAGGGTCCTCCCCTGGGTTGCCCCGTGCATCGTGGTCTTGCAGTACGTCGCGGACGACCAGCAGAGCGTCCACGAGCAAAACGGCCGCGACCAGTGCAATCTCGTGGCCGCAGTGCAAGCGGCCCCAGCAGCACGACGGCCAGCTCGAGCATGTCCAGCAGCACAACGACAACGTCCACCACCCTGACTCACATTGCATTGTTGGCTGCAGCACGCCTCTGATGACCAGTACGTTTTCGAGTGCGACAGCGTCGAGCAGCACCACGGCGGCTAGCACGACGATGAGCAGCGGCACGACGCTGACGGAGACGAGCTCATCGGCTAGTCTGTGCGGCCAAGTACGGCCAGGCGCAGGGCGTCGTCCACGGCCACCTCCACGGTGAGCTCCACGACGACAGCGAGCAGCACCGCGAGCGTGGGCGTGGCGAGCAGCTCAACGTCGAGCAGTGCGGCACAGTCGAGCAGCACCACGCCGGCCAACACTACGGTGTGCAGCGGCTCGACGCTGACGGCTACGACGGAGTCATTCACTACCGCGCTGCCCGGGACGAGGTCGTCGAAAGCCAGCAGGGCGGCTCCAACAGCACGACGGCCAGCTCGAGTGTGCCCCGCCGCGCAACCACATTGTCCACCACCTCGACTTCCGGTGCATCGCTGTCTAGCAGTACGTCTCAGTCGCTCTCCAGTGCTTCCTCGAGCAGCACGGTCATGGCCAGTGCGGTCTCGAGCATGCGACGTCCCAGCCACCTCCACGGTGAGCTCCATGACGACAGGGGGCAGCAGCTTGAACGAGGTCGTACTACGCAGAATGTCGAGCAACACCGCGCCGGCTAGTGCGAGCGTGACCCGCAGCACAGCTGCATTGCCAGCACCTGGGCTCCAGTGCACCGTTGGCTTGCAGTACGTCTCGGACGAACAGCAGTGAGACCTCGAGCAGCACGGCCGCGGCCAGTACGGTCTCGAGCCATGGGCGTCCTCAGCCACTTCCACCGCGGGCCCCACGTCGGCACATTGCAGCAGCGCGAGCGGGGTCGAGACGTGCAGCGCACGTCAAGCAGTACGAGCTCGAGTGCGGCACAGTCGAGCTGCGCCACGCCGGCCAGTACTACGTCGAGCTGCGGCACGGCGCGGTGGGAACGGCAGGGTCACCCAGCCCCACGCTGTGCGAGCTGGGTTCCACGGCCAGGACGAGCGGCACCAGCCGCACGGCGGCTACCTCGTGCGCGTCCTGCAACACATCTGCACTGTCCGCTGCATGGCGCCACCAGTAGCCTTTCCTGCCCACCGCCCGCTCCAGGCCGTTGCGGCTGTCTGCTGCACTGGGTTGGAACGGGTAGTGGTCCCCTGTCCTCTCCTTGCGGGTCGGGCACTCGGTCTGATCCTGGCCTGTTCACCTTTCACCGGCTGGCCCGTTGGACTTGCCTGGGTCGCCTTCCTTTTCCTGGTGCCTCCCACTGTTGTGTCCCTCCCCCTCCCTGGTGCCCGTACCTCCACTGGCGGACCCTCTGGGTTCGCTGGGTCCTCTCCTGCACATGGCAGCTCCCTTTATCTCCTTGGTCGCATCTCCACCCTCCTCCTGTTTGGTTGCCCTCTGGGCCCCGCCTCGTCTGTCGTCTCCTTCGGCCGTTGTGTCCACCGCCCGCTTCACGCCGCTGCGGCTGTCTGCTGCACTGGTGTGAATCTGGCTGTGGCTCCCCTCCCCTCCCTGCGGGTTGGGCTCGACGATCCTCCTGGCCACTTCACCCGGCTCGTGGCTGTCTGCGGCATTCGGCTTGTCCTCCGTTTGTCGCTCCCATGCAGAGCACCAGTATGTCTCAGGCGAAGATAACCATTTCCCACATTCCTGCGGCTGTTAGCTGCACCCTTCCAGAGCACCGGGACGTCTCATGCGAAGCAAACGCGTAGCCATCCCCCACCACTTTGCAGCTGTCAGCTGCACTTCGGCCGAGTCTCGGGTTGTCTCTGGTGATATCTTTCCCCCCCGCTCTGCGGCTGAGCTGCACCCCTGCTGGGCTTCGTCACGTATCAGGCGGCACCACTACCCAGCATCCTTCGGCCGTTAGCTGCACCCCTACCTTCTATGCAGGCTCGGCCCGTGCCCCCCGGGCTGGGCGTTTCAGGCGAAACTATATCCCCCTTCCTGCGGGTGTTAGCTGCACCCCACCAGAGGACCTATATGTCTCAGGCGTTGCAGTCATCCAACGTTCTGCGGCTGTTAGCTGCAGTCTAGCTCAGGTTGCCCAAGGTGGGACCGTCTCCCTTCACTCTGCTGCTGCTGCTAACTTCACCCCCGCTGGTCGTCGGTCCATCTCAGGCGTAACTTGTCTCAGGCGAAGATAACCATTTCCCACCTTCCTGCGGGTGTTAGCTGCACCCTACCACAGAGAACTAAGATGTTTCAGGCGAAGCAATCGCGGTGCCTTCCCCCATTTCACCGCAGCTGCCTGCTGCGCTCCGGCCTCGTTTCGGGGTGTCCCAAGTGTTTTTGTTTCCCTTCGCTCTGCGTCTGTTAGCTGCACCCCAGCTTGGAGTCGTCATTGTCTCAGGCGGGATCACCTCCCCTCATCCTGCGGCTGTTACCTGTGCCCCCCCCATCTTGGCAGGCGCGGCCAGTTCCACCCAGGCCGCGCGTCTCAGGCGACGTAATTTCTCACCTTCTTGTGCGGCTGTTAGCTGCACCCTACTAGAGGGCCCCATATCTCAAGCGAAGTAATCCTCCGAAGGTAATCGAGCTCCTGGCTGCTGTCAGCTGCCTCTCTCTGTCGGGCGCCCCGCACCCTATGCTCCCCCCGGGGCACGAGGGGCGGGAGGCCCCCCCACCCATTCGGCTCTACGCTAGCCCTGGAGATGGCCTGGGGTATTGCTTTCCGTTCTTCTGCGTGGGCGGTTTCGGCTCTTGCCGCCGTTAGTCACTCCTCGGCTCTGTGGTCTCGTTGCCTTTATAAGTGGCATCGGCATCCGATTCGATTGGATTCGTGCCCTCCGCTGCCTACTTACGTCGCGTACAGGGACTACTACAAGGTGTGGACGGTCCCCTACTTGCTCCACGTCTGAGCCGCGGCAGTTCTTCTCCTTTCCCGCCTCCTCTGTTTTTGCCTCTCGTCGCCGCCTCTCTTTTTCGTCCTTCCGCCCTCTTTTTCGTCTTTTCGCTCTTCGTCTTTTTCCTCTGTTGTCTTCGTTCTTTCCCGCCTCCCCCGCGTTGCCGCTGCGCTTCGCCTGTTCATTTTCGCCACCATTGTCGTCTTCTTTCTCAGCGCTTAGCCGGCGACAGTTGCGCTGTGTTTCCGACTCTCGCTTGCTGGTCGCCATTCTGACGCCGCGCGGGCGCCCGCTTGCGGTTGCGATTCAATACGTAGCCCCGCCAGAATTAACGGTTTAGCTTTCTTGCTCAACCACTTGAGGTTGCCACTGTTGGCATGCGACGCAGGTGCGCTGGACTGCTTGGTCAGCCCCGCGCCATGCCGTACTTGCTCGGTGGCGCGTTCACTTCGGGCGCCTGGCGCGACGGGGTACAATTCGTTTGTCATCCTGGCGGTCTTGCCCCTGGGATGGTTGCACTTCAGCCGCTTGGCGCACCTGGCAGCTCTTGCAGCCCTGCCTTCGGCCCCCGGCGCCGCCGAGCGTCCCTCGGCGGCAGTTCTGGCAGCCGTTAGTGCGCGCGCTAGGTAAGTAGGTTTCGGTCGTAGCCCGGGCTTACGTCGGACGCCGCCTGCGCCTTCGCTTGCGTCCGCGACAAAAATCCCCACCAGCCCGTCCAGAAACTATGCCCATGAGGGCTGACGGGGGGAGAGAGGAACATTCACGGATAATCGAACAGCGAGGGAGGCCGGCCTGGGCGGCGTGTTGTGAGGCCATCATGGGAGCGGTCTTGGGGTCTCTTGGGGCATCTGGGGGGCCATCTGAAGCTGGGCTATTTTGAGCCATCTTGAAGGTCATCTTAGGCTCTCTGAGGCCTCTCGGGGGCCACTCGGGGGCCTCTTGGGGGCCTCTCGGGTGCGTTTTGGGGGCCTCTTGGGGCCTCTTGGGGCGCTCTTTGGACCCTCTTGGGAGCCTCCTGGGAGCCATTGAGGGCCTTTAGGGGCCATCTTGGAGGCGGTCGGTCAAAAAGGTCGGGGTCTTAGATTTGCGTCCCCCCTCGGGGGCCCCGATCCTCGTGAGGGGTGGCAAAATGGCCCTCCCAAGGGCAGAAAAATGGCCTCCGACACATCGCGACACCTCAAAAAACTTCAGGGAGGGGAGGGGGAAGGTTCTCCTTCCCGAAGGGAGCATGGGTTGTGGAAGAAGAACAATACCCTCGTTTGACCACCTGTCGCCCAAAAGACTGGTGGGACTGATTTTTTTGGCTTAGGTTCTTGGGTTTTCAGCCTTTTCGCTTTTGCGGCTTTCCGACGCTCCGCGAGGGCCGAAGAGGCCTCCAAGACCGCCCCAACGCGAGTAAACATACAAGCGCTCATGTGCTGACTCGCAAACCCTCATTTGTTTGCTTCTTTGCTTACCTTCGGGATCAACAAATGGTCGGGTCAGCTTTCCGGTCGGCCCAGCCCCCTCAGGTGATGCCTGGGAGGCCCGGTCACTGACCCGAGTCATTGTGGCCTTGAGGCGGCAGTTCACGGCTGGTTGGTCAGGTCAGTGCTCGGGTGGCACCTGTGGCACTCAAGCAGCCCCCTTGGAGCCCAGCCCTGACCTGACTGCTTTTCTGATGCCTGTTCTGCTCCCCCCTTCCCTCCACTCATTATCGTTTAACCAATCCCCATCCCCAACCTCATCCCCATCCCCTTCGAACCCACCGCCAAATTACCACCCGGGTTGGGGATACACCCCTCGAATCCCGAAGGGAACGACTTATATCCCCATCTAGGGGGGTAAATCGGCCAGTGGGGCCCAGGCCACGCCGCTGGGGATGG